ATCTGCCTGACTTTTCTGAGTACATAGGACTCAAAGGTTCAGTTATTCCCATGATACTTAAAATAAGTCCTTGATATTTTATGTATTTTCAAACATCTTATAATTAAGAGTTATAGTCACATGTAATAGAGTCCAAAGGTCAAAATCAAACCATCATAAAATATTTTTAAGTTAAATTTTAAAAATCACCAAAATTACAATTTGCCATTTACTCCTGTTGCAAACTGAATTAAAGCTTAGTTTCAAATGCTTGGAGGCAAGATGCCTACAGGTGGAGGTTTACTGCTTCTAGAATTTTCCCTGGGATACAACTCTGCTTCATATTGTCATCTCACAAAATATTTATGTGTACAAATAATGAAGGATAGTGGATATGGCTTATGTACGCTACACATAATCTACATGTACAGAATAGTTTATATTTTTTACTGTCAGGTTCATGTGATCACTACTTCTCAAAATTAAGTGTGTGCACAAATCACTTGGGGATCTTTTTAAAATGCAGATTATGATTCATTAGGTCTGGAGTAAGGCTTGAAATTCTTCTGCATTTCTAACAAGATCCCAGGAAATGTTGATGCTGACTAGATAAGACCTCATGTAGCCCTGTCACCTGTGGGTGTCTGTACACTGTGGGGGCTAAAATAAAAATTAATACTTTTCTTCCCACCTTCTAAGTTCTTGCAGCTGGGCTAATAATCAAATTAACAGATTAACATGAGAAATTAAAATTTTAATACATGTGCGTAGGGAATTCACATATGCTTTGAAAATTCCAAAGCCAGTGAAGCAACATTGGCTATATATTACATTTTGGACAAAGGAGAAAAGGTGGGGAATGGGGTCTTAGATTTCAGAAGTGATAATGGTGTCTGTCTCAGGAGACAGTGAGCAACTTGAGGACAGGGACTATGTCTTCCCCAGTTTTATATCTATAGTGTCAAGCACTATGCCTTGGCATGAAGATACTCTCCCATCCTTTCTTGTATAAACAAATACCACATGGATGAATGATTGTTTACCACTCATTGTACTGTTGAATCTTTAACTTTTCCTAAAACAAAATGCACAAACATTTATTCACAGACAATGTATTAAGCAATGACACTCAAGATTTCTGGCCAAGATGGTGGAGTAGGTAAATGCTGAATTTGCCTCCTCTCATGACCACATTAAAATTACAACTAAACTACAGAACAACCATCAATGAGAATAGCCTGAAATCTAGCTGAACCAAAGTCCTACAACTAAGTATATACAGAAGAAGCCATCTCGACACTGGTACAAGGGGGGTGAGGGGAGATGTGGAACAGGCTGATCCCACACCCATGTGTGACCATTAAAAATTTGGAGGTATATCTCGGCTATGGTGGTCCCCCCTGGAGAAGTGAGGGGTCCCAGTCCCACACCAGGCTACCAGCCCAGGGTTCCAGTGATGGGCAGAGAAGTCCCCATAGCTTCTAGCTATGAAAACCAGCGGAGATTGTGGCTGGGTGAGACAGAGGGTGGCTGGAGTCCCAGGCAATCCTCTTAAAGGGCCTGCACACAGGTTACTCACTGATGGACTCACTCTGTGCTCCAGTGCTAGGGAAGCAGCTCAAAAGGTGCCAGGGACATATGGGGAGGAACTGAGTTGTCTTGACTGCAAAGCAAGGGCTGCAGGGGCAGCTTTCTCCCAGACAGACATGCTGGCAGAATCCATTTTTCTTTGTTGATCCCTCCCACTTCCAGGCATACAGATGCAAGGGGCCACCGTATCGTAAGTATCCATCAACCTGGCTAACACTATTTGCTCTGCCCTAGTGATTCCCTGAGACCCTGTCCCACCCAACTTTCAGGTACACCCAAGCCACTTCCAGTGGCTTTTTCCATACAAATGGCCTATCTTGGCTCACGCTGCAGTTTTCTAAAACCTCTCAAAGGTTCACAAAACCCAAACGAGCAGCATCTGACTTTGGTGTGTCCCGTACATCTTGCTGAGCAGCCCCAAGCCTGCATCGGTTCACAATTTAGCATCGGTTTACAACTTGGCCTCTCAAGGCACCTCCAAGCCCATTGCGGGTAGCAGCCATCTGCAGATTACTTTACGGCTTATACCAGGTGGTGCCAGGCAGGGCACAGGCTGAACCTGGCCTGTGGTGGGACCCCATCCATGAGGCCTTGGGGCTGGCACTCATGGTGGGCAGCTTTTGACTGAGCTGGAATATCACCTGGCCACCTCCGAGGACTGGGCAGAAACCAGAGCCCTGCAAAGGCAAATCCTGCTCCATAGGGTCAGCCCCTACATAACAGCTCCTCCACTGTAGTCACAGTCAGTCCCCACAACCAATCAGCCTGATGGTCAATCCCTCCCACTGATATGCAAACAGCATCAAAGTCTCAACTACAACAGGAGAGCATACACAACCCACACAAGGGACACACACCTGAAGCACCGAGCTCAGGTGACAAGGAAGACTGTGCCACTGGGCCCCACAGGACACCTACTACATAAGGCTACTCTCCTAAGACTGGGAGACATCACAACCCTCCATAGTACATAGAAACAAACACAGGGAGGCAGCCAAAATGGGGGAACAAAGAAACATGTCCCAAACAAAAAAAAAACAGAACAAAGTTCCAGAAAGAGAAGTAAACAAAATGGAGACAAGCAATCTACCAGACACAGAGTTCTAAACACAGGTTATAAGGATGCTCAATGATCTCAGGGAGAATTTCAACAAAGAAATAAGAAACATAAAAATGGAGCTAGAAAACATAAAAAAGAGCCAATCAGAAACAAAAAATACAACAACTGAAATGAAGAAAACATTAGAGAGAATCAATATAGATTAGATGAAGCAGAGGATTGAATCAGCGATTTAGAAGATAAGGTAGCAAAAAACCCAATCAGAGCAGCACAAATTAAACAGAATCCAAGTGAATGAAGATAGTTTAAGGGTCCTCTGGGACAACATCAGCATATCAACATTTGCATCATAGAAGAAGAAGAAAGAAAGGAATTGAAAACCTATTTGAAGAAATAATGACGGAAAAGTTCCCTAACCTGGTGAAGGAAATAGACATACAAGCCCAGGAAGTGCAGAGGGTCCCAAACAAGATGAACCCAAAGAAGCCCACACCAAGGCACATCATAATTAAAATGCCAAAGGTTAAAGACAAAGAATTCTAAAAGCAGCAAGAGAAAAGCAGTTAGTTGTTTACAAGGGAGCTCCCATAAGACTGTCAGCTGATTTCTCAACAGAAACTTTGCAGGCCAGAAGGGATTGGCATGAAATATTAAAACTGATGAAAAGCAAGGATCTACAACCAAGATTACTCTATCCAGCAAAGCTATCATTTAGAATCGAAGGATAAAGAGCTTCCCAGACAAGAAAAAGCTAAAGGAATTCATCGTCACCAAGCCAGTATTACAAGGAATGTTAGAGGGACTTAAGATGAAAAAATATATATGCATAATGAAATGGCAATAACTACATTCATATCAACAATTACTTTCAATATAAATGGATTAAATGCTCCAATGGCTGAATGGGTAAGAAAACAAGACCCTGACATATGCTGCCTACATGAGACTCACTTCAATTAGAAAGACACACACAGACTGAAAGTAAAGGGATGGAAAAAGATGTTTCATGAAAATAGAAATTAAAAATAAAAAGTTGGAGTAGCAATACTTATATCAGCAAAATAGACTTTAAAACAAAGTCTATAACAAGAGACAAAGAAGGACCCAGTAATCCCACTTCAGGGTATTTATCTGAAGAAACCCAAAACTCTACTTCAAAGGAATGTGTGTATCCATATATTCATTGCAGTATTGTTTACAATGGCCAAGATGTGGAGGCAGCCTGGGTGTGTGTTGATGGAAGAATGGATAAAGAGGAGGTGGTACATACATACAATGGAATATTGTTCAGCCATGGAAAGGAATGGGTTCTTGTATCTGTGGCAGCATGGATGGACGTGGAGGGTGTTGTACTAACTGGAGTATGTCAGAAAGAGAAAGACAGATGCAGTGTGATTTCACTTATATATGGAATCTAAAGAACAAAATAACAAAGAAAACAAACACACTCATAGATACAGAGAACATTTTGATGATGCCAAATGGAAGGGGGGTTGGGCAGGTGGGTGAAAAAGGAGAAGGGATTAAGATGTACAAATTGGTTGTTACAAAGTAGATATGGGAATGTAGGTACATAAGGAATATAGTCCATAATATTGTAATAACTATGTATGATGTCAGGTGGGTACTAGATTTACCAGGGTGATAGATGGGAGGAAGATTGAGGGGCTGGGTGAAAAAGGTGAAGGGATTAAGAAGTACAAACTGGTAATTACAAAATAGTCATGGGGATATAAAGTAAGCATAGGGAATATAGTCAATAATATGGTAATAACTCTGTATAGTGCCAGGTGGTACTAGACTAGTCAGGAGGATCACTTCTTATATAAATGTCTGACCACTATGTTGTACACCTGAAGTTAATATAAAATAATATTAAATGTCAACTGTAATTGGAAAAATTAAGAGAGGGAAGGTGAAAGGGGATAAGTTTCAAATTTCCAGGTATAAAACAAGTCATGGGGATATAACATACGGCATGAGGAATATAGTGTATAATATTGTGATAGTGTGGTATGGTGTCAGTTGCTGGACTTACCACGGTGATCACTTCTTTAAGTATATAAATGTTGAATAACTATGAGGTACACATGAAACATAATATGTATGTTAGCTATATTTTAATAAAAATCTTTTTTAAAAACAGAATGATATTCAAGTTTTAAAAGAAGAGTATCCTTTAGTTCTGTAACCCAAAGGGCTATAAGCCCTACAAAGCAAAGTACACACGTAGAGAATCCCTGGAAGGAGCAGGAAAGAAAAACCACAAAGATGCATCTCACTCCTCCAAGGCCGCCTAGAGAGGACCAGGAAATGCCAGGGAGGGTGGTCACTGCCGGGACTGGGTGACGCACTTCCTGCCTGGGCTACTCGCCTTTTTGTCACTAGACGAGGTGGGTCCTAAGTGGCACAGTTGCGGATAGGAGGAGTCCCGGAGGGGGCAGCTGCTTGGGGAGGGCCCATGAGTTTCTTGGATTTTTGCAGGGCCTGCTCTCTTCTCACCTGAAGGCAAAACTTCAGGAGAGTCGACAGGTGCCAGAGAAAGATGAATTCGATCTTCAGCACAAGTCAAGGCAGCGACGCCGAGGCGGGGGCCTGGAGGGTGGCTGGGGGGCCCAGGATCACCGCTCCGCCCCTGCGTGATGGACTTTTGATAGTTAAAGTGGAGGAAGATTCACCCGGGGGTCAGGAGTCCGGCCCGCCAGGGGACTGTTGGGATTCCGAAACTTGTCGGGAACATTTTAGGCGGTTCCGTTACCAGGAGGTGGCCGGACCCGAAGAGGCGCTCAGCCGGCTCAGGGAACTTTGTCGTCGGTGGCTGAGGCCTGAGGTGCACTCGAAGGAGCAGATCTTAGAGCTGTTGGTGCTGGAGCAGTTCCTGACCATCCTGCCTCCCGAGCTCCAGGCCTGGGTGCGGAAGCACTGCCCCGAGAGCGGGGAGAAGGCTGCAGCGGTAGTGCGGTCTTTTCAGAGAGCGCTTGGTGAGACCTCACCCCAGGTGAGGAGTGTGCCGGTGATGGGAGTGTGGGGAACGGAGGTGTATGGATGCTATGAATTTCAGAAGTTTCTTACTTCCTCATTACATTTTGTGTATACTTTAGGATGTGCATAAAACTTTCCTTTCCGTGGGAAACGGTGACAAATCCATCCAGGACATGATCCTTAAGTTATAGACCTCTCAGCACAAAACCTACACAGTATTGTTTACCCATTGTCAGACACCCTTTTGTTTAACTAGAATATTTGGGAAAGAAAGATGTGAGGATGCTAGAACAGTAATTCCCTACCACTCTGAATGTGAGGATCCCTTTTTACTTTTTAACGTTTTGGTGACTCCCTTCTCCCACAATTGATAGTAGGGGAGAGGGGCTAGAAGTGGAGTTAATAATTGATCATACCTACATGATGAAGCCTCCATAAAAATCCCAATAATATGGGGTTCAGGGAGCTTCCAGGTTGGTAAATGCATCCACTTAGGGGAGAGCGATGCACCCCAACCCCACGGGGACCGAAGCTTTCTAGCTCAGGACCCTCCCAGACCTTGCCCTATGCATCTCTTCCATCTCACTTTTTCTGAGTTATATCTTTTTATGATAAACTGATAATCTAGTAAGTAAATTGCTTTCCTGAGTTCTGGAGCCACTCTAGCAAATTAATCAAACCCAAAGAGGGGGTCGTGGAAACCTCTGATCTATAGCTGGTTGGTCAGAAACAGGTCGTGGATTTGCAGTTGATGTCTGAAGTTGGGGAGGGGGCAGTCTTGTAGGACTGAGCCCTGAATCTGTGGGACCTGAGCCCACCTCCAGGTAGGTAGTATTAGAATTAAGCTAAACTGTAGGGCACCCATCTGGTGTTGCGAATTGTTTGATGTGTGGAAACACACACACATCTGGTGTTGGAAGTGAAGTCGCCTTGTAGTGAAGTATTCAGAGTTTTGAAAGTAGAGGAGACACACAGGAGTGTGGTTTTCCTTTACACAGAGACAGAGCAGAGGCTCAGGGGAAAAAAGTTATCACACTTAGGTCCTAGAAACAGGAGGCACCACATGCCAAACAACCTCATGGGAAAGACACTAGGGTGGTCAAGCAGGTGACAGGAGCTAGGGGAAAGCTTTGGCCAGAGCCTATGTTAGGGTTTCTGATGGAAAGGCAGAGCAGGGCAGAGTGAACGGAAGGATCAGCTAGTTTGAATAATTTCAGTGTGCTATAAATTATAGCAGTGGTCCCTAGTTGCCTGGTACCTGGCCTCGGGATGATTAAAGCAGAGGAATGTTGCCTCCTCGAGTATACGGGCCAGATGGAGAAGGTATGGCTCTGGATTAACCAGTCTCAGCTGAGCCCTTTGCACTAAGAATTGGCTGGCCCCAGGAAGGGCAATCTCCCCAGCCAGAAAGGTGTTTTTTTGTGTTTTTTTTTTAAAGATGTCAAAACAACATAAAATATAACAAAACACAACAGAAAAAACAAAATATATTCCCCTTCCGTGTCACTGAGTGAGAAATCCTTGGAGTCAGTTTGTGAGTCATCACTGGAGCCTAGACAGCCATCTCCCTGCATCAGTTTTAAAACCTTCCCTTCCTAAGATCTATGGCTTTACCTTCTCTGAATGGTCAACTTACATTTAAATAAGCCATCTGAAAAGGTCATCTGGTTGGATAATATCTTACTGTGCAATGGTCAGGGAAAGGAAAGGAAATTATACTGAGGAGTTTTTGGTGAGGTACCTTCATCTTCTTAAGGTAGATATTTGTATCCATTACACATATGAGGAAACTGTCTCAGGGCCAGCATTGTAACTTGGGACTCTCTAGTCATCTGTACATTTTTAATCTATATACCTGATTACCATTTTGATAAATCACAGGGATATAACTCAAGTGAATATTTCACTCTTACCCCAAATGTGTAGATGGTCCACAGAAAGGCTTTTGGGGATTGCAAGAGAATGGCAGCCTCTGTCATTGGTCACTTTGAAACTCCCCCATCGGTACATGATTCACTGGTAAAGATTCAACAGTCATGGTGGTTACTTCATTTTCAGTGCTTCCTCCTTAGTGCTGGCCGACCCTTCTCTAGAGTCTGGCCTCATCCCAAGACTAGTGGTAAGGCTATCCTGGGACAGCAGGTGCTGAGGGAGATCTCCTGTTGTTTTAGGGTTTGGTGAAGGTCAAGGATGTGGCTGTGTCTCTAACCTGGAAGGAGTGGGAGAATCTAGACCCAGTTGAGAGGGACTTCTACAGGGAGAGCACACCGAAGGACTATGGGAACACAGTCCCGCCAAGTAAGTGCTGTGACTTTGCTTGTCTCTAGCTGTGTGTGATTTGGGGAGGGCTTGCTTCTGTCCGAACCCTGAGCCAGTGCCATTCACAGACATAGTTTGAGAGACTCAGAGTCTCTTTTGTGACCCTAGGAAGATTTTTCTGTTCTATATTGTTAAGTGATAGATTCAGCCTCTTTTGGTTCATTTTTAGTAAAATACATACAGTATCAAAAAATATAATGGGCACCTGTGTTTTTACCACCCAGGTTTATCAAATTTTAATATTGGCCATATTGGCTTTTTTTTTTTTTTTAAATAATATGTTACAGCTATTGGTGAAGCCCTGTGCAACCCTTCCTGAAAGCTGTTCCCCTTGCTCCTTTTCCAGAGGTAACCAGTATCCTGTTGTGGTATTTATTATTTCCATGTCTGTTTTATGTTTTTTCTATATATTCATGTAACCACATACACACACATTCTTTCTCTCTACAAATATATATATACACACATATATAAACATGTAAATATATAAACATGCGAACATATATATACTATTTTTATGGTATATAAATTATATTACTGTATGATTCTTTTGCACCTTGCCTTTTTCTCAACATTACATTTTTGAGATTTATCCATGTTGATAATGTAGCTCTAGTTTATTCATTTTAACATCTATATATTTCATTGTGTATATTTCAAGATTCATTTATCCATTCTCCTATCAATTAAGGACATTAAGGCTTCTAGTTTTTCACCATCACAAAGAGTATCACACTGAACATTCTTGTATCTTTCTCCCTGTGGTCATATGTAGGAGTTTCTGAAAAGAATATACTTAGGGATGTTTGTCCATCTTGCCATCCAAAAAGATACTAGCAGTATACGAAATTTCTTCTTTCTCCACATCTTTGTCAACATTTGGTGTGCAGCTGATGGCATGATGTGTTAACACAGTAGTCTAAGTATTCCTTTTAATGTTAGGTTGCCTCCCACCTCAGCTCAGAACTTGCAATACTCCTCATTTCACGCAGAGGAAAAGCCTGTGATGCCCAGTGTGACAGACCCTGTTACCACACCAACCCATCTCCTGCTCCCCTCACTCACTCTGCTCCAGCTCCACGGACCTTGACCATGGCTGGCAACCCACTTCATGGTCTTTGCTCTAATTGTTCTCTCTGCCTAGTATGTTCTTCCAGAACTCCACAAACTATAAGCAAACTCCCTGACTTGTTTCAGGTTTTTGTTCATATTTCTCCTTTCTGTGAGGCCTGACCTGACCATCATGTTTAGCAGTTTGCCTACCACTGTCTCCTCCTCCCACCCTGCTGACCAATCCTCTGCCTGCTTGACTTGGTCCATAGCATTTATTACCCTCTAACAATTTATGCAATGTACTTTATTTACTGTCTGACCACCCCATCTGGAATATAAACTCCACAAGAGGAAAGATTTTTTACTGTTTTGTTCATTAATGTAATCTAAATGCCTAGAATAGTGCCTGGCACAGAATGGGTGCTCAGTAAATACTATTTAGATTAATGAATGAATGATATCTGGTGGTTTTAACTTGCCTTACCCTGATCTCTACTCAGTTAAATATCTTTCAGATATATTTGGACATTCTGGTTTCCTCTCTTGTGAATCGCCTGTTGATAGCCTTATCTCCCCTTCCTCCCTCCATTATCTTTTTAAAAATTGCTTTGTGGCTGTCTTTTGTAATTTTCATACAAATCCTTTGTTATTTTATTGGTTATACAGGTGGCTTGTCTTTTCACTATGGCATGTTTTGTTATATAGAATAAAAATTTTTAATATAGTCAGCTTTTTCAATCTTTTACTTTATGGTTCAAATCGTCGTAGGAAATATTAGATCCTTCTCAATCCTGTTTCCAATTTTGCAGACATAACAACTTTAAAATGTTTTTAACTCTTTTCAGTGGTATTTATTCTTATATTTCTAAATAAAATACTTTGCTATTTCCTCCCAATTTCAATTATTATCTCTTGACTGCCTACTGAGGAAGACAAGTTTTGTCCCCCCAACATACACACATTTAGCAGTCCATAGTTCTCTCGTTATAGTTAAATTAGTCTTTTTTGTTCATTAATATATTTCAATGTTACGCCTATATAAATATTATCTATGTTCACCCACATAATATATATGATTGTATATCTTTTCTTTACAGCTTTTAGTTTTCCCTGGAATTAAAAGTGCCTCGTTTTGCATGTTTCTTTTTTTTTCTACTTTTCTAACTACTGAACACTACTCCACCCACGAGCTTTCTGTTAGAAATGTACAACTCCTCTCAGTGTGTTCACATATGTCAGATGTGCCGTCATTTCCATCTTCCCTTGGCGAGATCCTCCTGCAGCTCCTCTGCTGCAGTGTGAAGACGCTTCTTTTCCAGACCTGTTACTCAGCTGTTATCCTAGAACTTTCCTTCACTATCACCCTGGGAATTCCTGTTTCTTTCCTAGATCTCATACCATTTTCCTCTTTGATTTTACCCGCCTTGATTTGATGGAGAGCATCTTCCAGTGTGCTCCATATTACTTGGGAGCTAAATTTTTTGAAACTCTGAGTGTCAGAAATGTTTTTATTCCTCTCTCACATTTGGAATATAGTGTGGCTGGATATCGCATTCTGTGTCAGAAATTATTTTACCTTTGAATTTTGAAGACAGTGAATTTTCTATCTAGCTTGCCATGTTGCTATTGAGAAATCTGATACCACTGTGATACTTCATCCTTGGTGTACAATCTGTTCTGTATAGAAGCCTTTAGAAGTTTTTCTTTATTAATCCTGCTGCTATGAAATTTCACCATTGATGTGGCTTAGTGTGAGGTATGAATTTTTCCCCATTCATTGTTCTGAGTAGTTGGTGGGTCTTATAATATAGACACCCATACCTTTGAGTTGTGAGGAATTTTTTATAGTATTTTTTTTATTTATCTATTTTTATCTCATTTTTACTGTGTTCTTTCTGGGATTTCTTTCAGTTGGATGGATGTTGGAACTCATTGATCCTGTAAGGTTCCTCCCACCCCCTTCCCATTTCTTTATCTTTTATTTCACTTTCCATGAGATCTCCTTAGCTTTATTTTCCAACTCTTACACTGAAATATCTTTCCTCTCATTAACATTTTCGAACTTTTTTTCTTTAAATATTCCTTTTCTTATAGCCTTCTTGTTTTCTGGATGCAATATCTTCTCTTATTTATCTGAGAATACTTGTTATGTTATTAGGTTTTCTCATTTCATGCATTATATGTTTCACTGTCATTTCTATTAGAGGTTTTCTTGCAATATTGGTAACCTTTTACTTTCTGTTTGTATTTAATAGTCAAACATAAGAATTCTGACTAGAATCTCTGTTTGTTGGGGTAGCACTTGTGAACTGGGGATCTCCAGTATAGGGTTGGCCATCAGGTGCTGGTAATACTTGGGAATTCTCATATGTCAGTGTCTCTAAGTCTTTTGGCCTGGGCTGGTGAGTTTTACCATAGAGAGATTATTCAACAAATGTTTTATTGAGTGTCCACAGTCTGCAGGTGCTGTTCTAGGTGGAATACAATAGGGAATAAGCCTCTGAAATCCCTGCCATAAAAATTTCTGCCCTTTCTGCCTGGAGGATATAGCTTTGGAGCCAATAGTTTGAGCCTGAGAAGACAGTACAATGAGGTTCTACCAATTAGGGTGTCACTTTTCACTTGATTGTTCTGATGTGATAGTGGTACCTGCCCACTATTCTTAGCTGTACCTGATGTCCCCAATCCAGAATTTATCTGGTTCAGCCTTCCTGGAGAGTAAACTGCAAGAATTCTGGACTGCGGGTTAGAATCTGATTCCTTTATGGACTTTCAAATCAGTCCTAGATTTATCACCCACACAAACCCTGCCTTCAGACTTTGGAGGCACCTGATATGTCTACTACTGTAACTCATCACATGAATAGAATTTCTTTTGTTCAACCATCCTTCAGACATGGCATAAAGGCTAGACCACCTCTTTTAACACTCCTTCCCAATTTACCTAGCATAATATGGTAACTCAAACAACAGTGGAGTGGGGCAGGAGGAGACGAGATGGGTTAGTGGGTGCAGACACAAGTATAAAAGCAAAGGAATTGGTTTTTTACAGGAAAATGTCAGCACATCTGACAGGTTAATGTAAGTTAAAACAGTTTAACTTCAGGAGTGGTTTCATGGAGAGGAAAAAGGTTTTGGGGGGGCTGTGTTTGGGTGGCTAGTACTTGCTTATTTCACTCTTGCACAGGATGAAATGTCAGCAATTTGTCATTTTAATGTTTCAGGTTTGGAAACCAGAACTGAGAACAAAGAGTTGATTCCAAAGCAAGAAATTCTAGAAGTAGAGCCACAGGGGCAGCTACAGGAGGGATCCCAGGGGACAGCTGCCCTGTTTTCCAAGTGTGGCGATACACATGAGGAGAGGGTAGAAAAGCAACCAGGAACCCCCTCATCACTGAAACTTGAACATTCTCCTGAAGAGCAAGGACTCACCAGCACCTCAGATCTCATGAATGGTTACACAGAAGGGGGAGACTCCAAAAATAATGACTTTGGGAATAATGGCAGAAGTTCAAATTTTGTTCTTTGTCAGAATAGCCTGACAGCAGAGAGATCCATTAATGGTGACGAATGCGGCATCAAGTGCAAACAGAGTCTGGATCTGGTGAAACTTCCAGTGGTGAAACCTCACAGATCTGTTGACACCGAGGAAAACTTCCATAGTTTAGGCCTCTTTGAGACCCAGAGGCAGATCCGTGAAGAAAGACCTTATAAATGTGGTAACTGTGAGAAGAGTTTCAAACAGCGTTCTGACCTCTTTAAACACCAGAGAATCCACACTGGGGAGAAACCCTATGAATGCCAAGAATGCGGGAAGAGCTTCAGTCAGAGTGCTGCCCTGATTAAACATCAGCGGACACATACAGGGGAAAAGCCATACACATGTCCCAAATGTGGGGACAGCTTCAGACAGAGCTCACATCTCAATCGGCATCAAAGAATCCACATAGGAGAGAAATACTATAAATGTAACGAATGTGGGGAAATCTGCCGCATTTCCAACCGTTTTAGACATCAGAGAATCCATAAAGGGGAGAGACCCTATACATGTGAAGAATGTGAGAAGAGCTTCAAACGGTGCTCTGACCTCTCTAAACATCAGAGAATCCACACTGGGGAGAAGCCTTATGGATGTTCTGTCTGTGGGAAACGCTTCAGTCAGAGTGCAACCCTCATTACACACCAGAGAACTCACACTGGAGAAAAACCTTATAAATGTCTTGAATGTGGGGAAAGCTTTAGACAGAGTCCACACCTTATCCGACACCAAAGGATCCATAGAAATAAAGTCCCATCATTTTGACATGCTTCTGCTTGAGCTGTTTTGTTTCTTCTTTTTTTTTTTTTTTGTTCATTGCCCAGAAACTACATTCTTTGGCTTGTGAAGTATTTCAGTCAATCATGGATCGTATTTCCTTGGGCATCACACCCAAGATAGATTCAGTCTGACTCAAGTCTCCAGACACACACTGATAGAGTATTACTATGAAGGAGAAATGCATAAGTTGGGAGCCCCTCCAACAGATGGTTCCAGGGAGGAGACCTCTGAGAAGAGTGAGGGCTGACATGTGACATTCTGTCCTTGTCTCTTCACTCTTCCTACCTCTGCTCTGGGACCAAATCTTTCGCACTCCAATTACTTTCCTTAGAATTCATTTTACTCACTTAGAATTGTCTTTCTACGTAGATGGTAGAGAGGATTTCAAATACTTTATCATCCAAAACACCTCGTACAGTTCAGTGCATACAAGAGCCACTTTGTATTTTTTACTTTAAAAAAAATTAACTTTGTAGAGTCCCTCTTTCCCATTCTTTTGCTGTTGGGTTAAACTGCAGGCACAGCTAAAAGCTTGGATTAGCTCTTAAGTCTATCTTACTCTCTTTCCAGTTCTGCACACACATAACATGTATTGCATCCAAATTCTTTTTGAACCTTTTTTTAAATTAAGGGGATATAAGCACTTTCCTGGATATTTGGGAAACCACTATAGGAAAGAATGACCTATACTCCCACGCCTGATCTGTTACTGGCATTTACAATGGACCCTTGAACAACATGGGGGTTAAGGGGCACCTATACCCTCTGTGCAGTCAAAAATCCGTCTATAACTTTTTGACACCCCCAAAATTTCAGTCATCCCTAGGTATCCATGGGTATTGGTTCCAGGAACCCTGTGGATATGAAAATTCATTTTACTCAAGTCCCTTGTATAAAATGGTGTAGAAAAATGCATATAATCAGCCCTCCACATTTCTGGATTCGCAACCATGGATTGAAAATATTGTCTTTCATCTGTGGTAGGTTGACTCCACAGATGTGAAACCTGTGGATACGGAGGGCCGATTATATTGAAAAAAATCTGCATATAAGTGGACCATCAGTTTAAACCCATGTTGTTTAAGGGTCAGTTGTATTTCCTTCTGATTTTTTTCTGTGCATATTTTTATATAATAGTTTTTACATTTCAGATCTTTAATATGTATTAAGGATTTTACATAGTTTTCATAACCTTTATGCTTAATGGCTGCATCATAATCCAAGTAGATGTAACAATTGACCCATTTTCCTTTTTTTGGACATTTCAAGCATTTGTTGTTTTTTATTGTTGCAAGCAATGCTGTAGTGAACATCAGTATAATTTTAGCATAATTTGGATTGTTCTTTAGAATCTCAGGCTAGGTTCCCAGGTAGAATTCCTTAATCAGTGTGTGAGCTAGTTTTGACTTTTAATACACCCTCCCAATTTCCTTCCCTGGAAGCAAATGCCAAATTACATTCTATTATGAGAGTTCTACTTCTGCCTTGTCACCTTACCTCACATTAACTTTTTTTCCTAAATGTACAAAAACAAAAACCAAATTAATTGCCTTTCAGAACTCACCTCTTTGACCTTGGATGTGGTAGAATAGCAGTGCATGCTATCTCCTTTGACCCTCCTTAAAACCAACAGGAGGTACTGTGAGAGGACTGGCTTAGATTCATTCAGACTTCAGGGTGTCATGTGGAGTATTTAACTTTTATTTAAATGAGATTTAGTATTAAGAGAACTGGGCTGAGGGTGAGGCAATGGTAAAAGTTGAAGCAGGCCATGAGCTATATCACACTGGTGTTTTCCCTAGACTTATCAAGGTTATTTGCCCAAGGTCAGATAGCTAGTAAATGGTCATATATATAACCTGGTATAGGTGCTGATCCTAGTGTTTTTACTACAGGAATTTTGCAAACTTAGAATGGACCGTCCTCTCTCCATTTTTAGTTTTCCTTTATTCTTTTCCTCTTCCACTTTCTATAGACATTTACTGCTACCTACTTGAATTTCCCACATATATGCCTTTGGTCAAAATGCTTCTCTGCTTTTAATCCCAGTTCCCTTTCCCCAGCCCCTAAGTCACCAAATTAATAAAGGAACAACTCCACTCCTTTAAGACAATTTAAAAATTTCACTTCTCAATTATGCTACCCCAAAACACTTGCAAACTACTACATATAGTAACTTAATGAGTATGAGTACTTGCCATCTCTGATCCCTAGACTATAAAGGGTGTCTTAGTCTGCTCTGATGCCACAACAAAATAACACAGACTAAGTGAATAAACAGCATAAATTTATTTTCTCACAGTTCTGGAGGCTGGATGTCCAAGATCAAGGTGCCATCAAAGGTTGTTGTCTTTTGATGCCTCTACCTGTCCTGTAGACAGCTGCCTTCTCACTGTGTCCTCACATGGCTTTTCCTCTGTGTGGTGGGCAGAAAGAGAAATCTGGTATAATATCTGTTTCTCTTATAAAGACACCAGTTCTGTCAATGGAAGCCCCACACTTATGACCTCACTTACCTTAATTAGCTCCATAACAGTGAGGAACCATATTATTACGTGTATTCTCCCACAGTACCAAGCACAATGTCCAACAAAATAGTAAACCTAGATTTTTGCTACCACAGTTGACAGAAGACCTGACTGGAGCTGGGAAAGTTATAAAGTCATTAAAATCTTTGTCTTAGAATGTCTAAGATTTTCAAATTCTATTCTGGAAGGTGCCCTGCTTGGAATTTCTAGGTCTCCAGAACAGTGACACAATTAAAAGGAAAGCTCCTGGAGTCCCTAGCAGGAACGGCAGGGACAGGAGCCTTGCCAGAGTGAGGGACCAGGGGGTCTCCAACCATTCAGGGTTCCCAGAAGGTGTGCGAGCAAGGCAGAGCTGTCTACCAGGCACAAGCAGTGGGTCCTGCCGAGACTGAGCAGGTGAGCCCCCTCTTCCCACATGCTTACTTTCTAGCAGGATTCTGAACAGTCTTTGGCAACCATTATTGACCCAGCAGGTGTCATAATGGAATGTGGGATCATTGGACGAACACAGCTTGGCTTGGGGGACTCAGTTGGCCACTCATCTTGAGCCACAGTGCCACTTTGAATGATTGGTCTAGGTCATCTATCTTAGCACTCCTGTCCCCTTCAGAGTCCAATTGCTGGATTCTTTTGGTGGGCAAAGGGCTTATCATAATTGGGCGCCCAATTTTGATTATTTTTAATTGTCCAAGACCCACTTGCTAGATTATATGGCTTAGCTGTTGGCCACAGCCAAGAATAGTCTTTAGGGTATGTTCTCTGGTTCTCCTATAGCTAAATGTACTGCTTGTAATTGAATCTTCTGTCTGGCCAGATTGCTGATTTCCAGATCAGTGCTCATCGATACAATCAAAAGCTGTCATCAGGAAACCAAGCTGCCATTTTTTGTTTTATCAGGGAGTTTTATAGCTACCACTTGGAAGTGGGGAAAAGAAAGTGCTTGGAGGAGGTAACTGTCAGTCCAATAGTGCTACTACTCTTCACTGATGTGACACATGTCCCTCTCAAGGCGTTTCTTGTGGAGGTGGGTGGGGATGTTAATGTTACTCCGAGCGCCAAAATCTCCAGGACACATAGATGCAAAATCCTTGATCTAAAGCCTTGGGCCACATGTGTTTCAAAAATCAGAATTTTTCAGTTTTTAGAAAGGTCAGGTATTTACATAACACCACATATGGGCCAATACGTCATAATCCAACATGTTAATATTTCTGGAACAAAATGTATGAATATGAAAATACCTATTGGGACTGTAAGTCTTTATTTTGCCACCAGATGAGTTCAGATCAACTCAGGTTTGGTAACCAAACAGATTATGAGAAAACATTTTTGCCCTCAGAGATTTTAGGATTTTTAGAATTGGAAATAAAAGGATTGTGGATATTTTTATATATATCTATTACATAAAATTTTAGATAGATATATATCTAGAACCACACAAGGCCAAATTGTATGGACAAAGCAAGACCTGTTTGCTTAATTCTCCAGCATTATATCTCTGTAGGTATCCTTCTGAGCCAAGTTCAAGTCTTCCCACTTCTCCCTGGTGAAATACACAGTCACTTCCTCAAATGACAGCAACTCCTAAAGAATTAGGAAATAATTATAATTCTTGTAAAGTACTAAAGTTAAAGGCTATGGGCATCTTAAAGATCTTGATCTTTGGAAAGGTCTCTTTCATTGTATCACTAGATCCCTTGGGTTTTTAAAAACCTTTTAATAAAAAGTACAATTTACAATATAAACAAATTACATGAATGTCACAAACACACCCATGTAACCAGCATCCAGATCAATAAGTATCACCAGCCCCGCAAAGTCCCTCCACCTTGTGCTCCATTCCAATCATCATCTCCCAACCAAAGGCATGATCTTGTTTTCAAGCAACATAGTTTTACTTGTTTTTATACTTTATATAAATGGAATCACTCAGTATTTATTCTTGTATCCAATTTATTTTATTTACATTTTTTAAATTGATACATGTTGTTGATGTAGTTGTAGACATTTGTTATGGACTGAAGATTTGTGTCCCTCTAAAATTCATGTATTGAAGTCCTAACTCCCTATGTTGCTTTTAGAGATGGGGCCTCAAAAGAAGTAATTTAAAGTTAAATTAGCTCATGAGGTGGAGCCCTGATCCAATGGGATTAGTGTCCTTCTAAGAAGAGATACCAGAAAGCTTGCTTGCTCTTTCTCCTCACACATTTACCGAGAAAAGACCATGTGAGGACATAGCAGCTCTCAGTTAGCCAGGTAGAGTCTTCACCAGGACCAAATCAGCCAGAACAGGAATTTATTTTCTCATAGTTCTGGAGGCTAGAACTCCAAGATTAAGGTGTTGGCAGGATTGGTTCCTTCCTAGGCCTCTCTCCTTGGCGTATAGATAGCTATCTTCTCCCTGTGTCTTACATGGTCTTCCTTTTGTATAGATCTATATTCAAATTTCCTCTTTTCCTAAGGACACCAGTCAGATTGGATTGCAGCCCACTGTAGTGACCTCATTTTAACTTAATCACCTCCTTAAAGGCCCTATCTCCAAATACAGTCACATTCTGAGGTACTAGAGTTTAGAACTTCAACATATACATTTTTGGGGTGGATATACAGCTAAACACATAGCAGATAGAAACTGCTAAAAGATCAAGCTTAGCTATTTGTTCAATAATTCATGCAGTTTCTTACTGAAACACTACAAGTCTTTTGGGAAAAAAATATAGGAGGTATTATTCTGATCTCAGATTAATGAAGACTATCTTAAACATGTATTAAGTTAGCTTAATTATAACAGTTCTAAAAAATAGACCCAAAAAGGTATAGTTGTTCATTTCTCGATCCTATAACAGTTTAAGGCACATAAACATGACTGTCAGGGTGGCTCTCCTCCAAGCAATCTGACAGCCCTGCCATCTTCAATACACAGCTTCCAAGATGTCCTGGGTTTTCTAATCTAGTCAACTGGAAGGGAGAAAGAGCATGGAAGTGTGAGGGCTTTTATGGGTCAAGCCAAAAAGTGGCACACGTCGTCTCTACTCACACTCCATTGGTTAGAATTCAGTCACCTAGCAACAGTGAACAATGCAAGTTGTGAGATGTGGTCTAGCTGTGTGCCCAGGAAGAACAAAAACAAATTTCTGAAAAATTGGTAGGAATCTGCAACAAGACTCAAAAAGCACTCTCATAAAAGATTGATAATTCAACCACATTAAGATTAGGAAAAGACAAACAAAATAGGAAGCATAACCCATGGTAACGAAAAGATGTTCAATTACATTAGTAATAAGAGAAATGTAAATTAAGCCATAATTAGATACTACTTCATACCTTACAGGTGATCAGATCTTTAAAAATGTGTCAGAACCAAGTATTGATAAACATATAGAGTGGCAGGAACTCTCATCTATTGCTGTTGGGGGTGTAAATTGTTACATGTATTATAGAAAAGTTTGGCATTACTTCTTAAAGCTATAAAATATATCTTATGACTCATGAAATGTGTATATCTTATTTCTCGGTCTTTTCACAGGGAACTAACAGGCATGCTGACATCTTTCATAATAGCCTTAAAATGGAAACACCCTAGAAGTCCATCAACAAAAGAATAATTCATAAATTGTGTTATATGTATTCCTACAACAGAATACCCAGTATCAATGAATAGGATTGAACCACAGGCACACTGAAACGTGGAAGATTCTCAAAACACATGTGCAGTGAAGGAACAAGAGTATGATTCAAAGTATGTAAAATTCAAGAACGAATGAAACTAAGTAATATAGTGTCCAGACATAAATAGACAGGTGGTATGTATATATTATACAAGGGAGTGATTAACATAAAACTCACAGTATTTGTTAATGTTTGGTGAAGAGGGAGGGAGATAAGTTTGGAGACAATACAAGGAGCTTTCATGATTCTGAAAATGATCTATTTCTTAACTAGGATTAAGATGCATAGGGAGTTCTTTTTATAATTATTTACTGTCACATATCTTCATATACTTGTGAATTCTATTATTTCACAATAAACATAGACAAGTTTATTGTGAAATATTGCTAACATACAGACAAGTACACAAAATAGACTGATTTTAAAGAACATTCACATACGCACCACACAGATTTATCAATTCTTAAAATGCCAGATTTGTTTCAGATAGTTTCTTAAAAGAAATAAAACAATGTATACTGTTAAAGAACCTCGTACCCTCTCTAATCCCATTCTTTTCTCTTTCTCATCAGAAAGAATAACTATACTGAAATTATGTATCTTTCTTTTCCCCATTTTATATTTTACTTATAAGACCTTGCATTCAGGGCCAGCCAAGTGGCTCAGTTGGTTAAGAGCGTGAGCTCTGAGCAACAGGGTCACTGATTCAATTTCCACATGGGCCAGTGAGCTGTGCCTGAGCTGAGCTACAGCTAAGCTGCCAACAGGTGGCAGGATGGCTCAGCTAAAAAAATAAAAATAAAAATAAGAGTTGGCTTAAGAGCGCAAGCTCTGAGCAACAGGGCCGCTGGTTCAATTCCCACATGGGCCAGTGATGCTGTGCCTGAGATGAGCTGTCGCTGAGCTGCCAACAGATGGCAGGATGGCTCAGCTGGTGTAAAAACAAGATTGCCTGTCCCACAACTAAGACTGAACTTGGCACCTTGAGCTGAGCTGCTGCCCCGGATTGCTCAGTGGATAGAGCTTGCACTCTTAACAACAAGGCTGCTGGTTCGACTCCCACATATGGTGGCTATGCCTACCCGCGACTAAGACTGAACTCAGCACCTTGAGCTTAGAGGCCATGAGTTGCCGACGGGAAGCCAGATGGTGACTGGCGCCCTCCACAACGAATACTGAAGAACAACTTGGCTGGTCCCCTTCCCCAATTCCCCAACACTGTTCCCCTCTCCCAATTCCCCAATAAAATCTTAAAAAAAAAAATCTAAGAACTTAACTGAAAATTTATTTTGCCAGGAAGTCACCTATTTCTATTTTATTCTAAAATTTATTTTTGAATTTTATGTGTTTTTGCTTTATACTTGCTTGCACCTAATTTCCCCTCTTCATTTCCACGAGCTAAGAAATGTTGACAAATGGAGAAGCCACCTTGATGAAGTTACAGTTGAGAATGAACTTGAACAAGGTCATGATTCATGTAGGTGTTGTCAAAACTTGAATGTAAGCTGCGTATTGGTCATGCATATGACCATGTTACATGAGATTTTAGTTAACTGTGACTCAAGTGTATAAAAATATGAGAAAATAAAACATTTATCAACTTTTATATGTTATTTAAATTTTAACACACCCTGTTTTTTAATTTCTAATTTAGCATTTTTACCTAAAGTAGGCAAATTAACATTTGCATTATTTATTTTCCTCCTTGATTTATATATGGTGAAACAGCTTCACTGGTCTTGTCAAGAAAAGATGTGCCTTTTCTAGTCCAGTGGAATATTCTAGATTGTTGATGCCAGGCTCCCCCGACCTTCACTAATTGAGCCGATGGTTGCTCAGTCTACCCAAGCAGGGAGGACGATGAGTCCAGTCCATTAGGCAAATAGAAAAGCCAAAACTTGAGCATTTCTTTCCCACTGCCTTCTCTGGAGGGCTAGTTTGGAGCTCTTGTCTTACACTGTTAACAAACATGACCATATACTGACACTGACATTGCTAATCTGTGTGCTCTTGGCCTGGCAACTGTCTAGCCTCTTGGAAAGGCAGAAGCCTTCCCAGCACTTGAACTCTTGAAGCGGGGGCCCCTTTCTCCCAAAACAAGTTAGTTTGGCAAGCCTTCCAGACCAGTATCATTCCTCTCTCCCTTGTGTCCTAGAAATTCGACTGAAAAAAATATTGTCAAACATAAAACATTTTATAGGGGTCACTTATACAGGGGGAAAGTTGCTCATTTAATTTAGTTGCAGAGAAGGAAGTGGCACCAAATACAAGTTCCCTTGTGTCTCCATAAGAAGTCTTTATAGGTTCTTTACAGTTCTATCTATCCAATAAACCTTTCTGTTATGGAAATGTGGTATATCTGTGCGGAACTTGAAATGTGGGTTTTGACTGAGGAACTTAGTTTTGTTTGTTTGTTTTTTAATAGCCTCATAGGGCTTCTGGCTACCATACTGAGTAGCGCAGATCTTTTCTTCCTCTTGTGGCAGATGTAGCTGATTGTAAATGTGTTTCAAGTTAACCTTGGATCCTTTAGTTGTGCCCTCTTTCATTCTGGAAAGCTGGAAGCTTGTGCAGTATCTGAACAGAATAGATTTAATAGCCTGGCTCAGACTTCTAGGTACTCAAGCCTGGATCTGCTTTTCATAGGTCCCGATCTCCCAAGGTTAATTGGCTTATCTCCTCATCAGTCAGAAGTTTCAACTTCTTAATTTTGCTTAGGCAAATAAAATTTGGCAGCCCTTTCGTCTAGCCAATCATGACCAGTACAAAAATACTGATTAGGTATGTTTGAACTCAATATACAATCTAACACTAATCAATATTTTCCTCCTGCAAGGCTTAAGATTCCTCAATTTTATGGTGTGCCACTTGCTTTCTTCTCATTCTCAATAGCAATTTTTTTATTGCTGGGTAAGAAATCATGGAATTGGTAGTAGCAAGAAAAGAATAAAGAAGAAATTAGAGGGGAAGGGATTTGAATAACATGACAGGGTCTAAATAGCTATTTTTAATGCAGACCTAAGATGATGTTTAGGATATTAGAATTTCAAGAGGGTTTCTTGTACTGGTAAGCTGAAGGGGAGAGTAATTAATACAGTCAGCTCAACCTGTTTAACCTGAGTATAAGAATGTGCCTGGAAGAACTGTGGGAACAAAAAGGATATGGCTCCTCAAGGATAACAGTTGACACTTTTTGAGTACAAGCCATTTCTTTGTGGATAGAGGTGTTGAAACATTGGGAGGGGAGTGCAGAAGAGACACAGATAAGGGAAGACAGCTAATAAAGTAGCTATCATGGCGAGTAAATGTATGTAATCCCATGGGAACATCTGAAACAACATACAACACATGCTTCAGAGATACTCCACCCAAGGGGAGAGGGAGACCTGGTATATATCAATTCCCATCAAGTACTGGTTACGGCCTGCTCTCAGGATGTGCTAGTTACCCCCAAATAGAAGTGGGCTTTCATGGTTTTAGAAAGAGTTTGCAGGCCAAGAAATGAAGATAGTGCAAGGCACTTGAAACACTGAAGGGGTACGGCCAGGGGGTAGGGGTAGGGTACCAACAGCATTTGCTATAAACACTGACTTAGAACTCTCAGGAAAATGTAGGAGCACACTCCTTTAACTTTATAAATAAATTTTAGTGATTCTCAATACTTCACTAGCTACTAGTGAGTAGCACTTACTTTTGAACAGCCTATCAATATAGGGCATTGTACTGTATGACACTAAGAAAGGCTATCCTAAATTGTTCACGATTCATTAAATGATCTCCAGCCTGGGACTACAGAACAAAGCTACTATGCCTCCCTTCTGCCTTAACTTGACTTGGGGGAAGGAAGCTATAGGGGTCTCAAGGGAAACTAGACACAACAGCCTATCACATTGTCGATTAAGTAGTTCTGGACTACAGCAAGAGGGTTACCTACAGAAAGGGGTCCCCACAGAAAAAACAGTTCAGTTCCTTTTTACTCATTTTCATAAAACAATCAAATTATACATACTTGCAATAGTGGTACGTTCTGGTCTTTAAATGGTGGCTTTTCCAATTAGTATCACGTAGATCTCTGCTCTCTGTGAGTACCCTGATGCTTAATAAAGCTTGTGTGCCAACTGAAAGATTTCCCGCATTTGTCACATCTATAGGGTCTCTCTCCATTGTGAATGACTTCATGTCGACGAAGATTTGACTTAAAACTAAAAGTTTTTCCACATTCTCTACATTCAAATAATTTTCCCGTGGTATGTGTTCTTTGATGCTGAATGAGATCTATATTCCGGCCAAAGGATTCTCCACAGTCACTACATTTGTGAGTGCTCTGTTTACTGTGAATTTGTTGATGGCTCTTAAGGGTTGAATTCCGAACAAAGGCTTTTCCACATTCAAGGCATTTATGGGGTTTTTCTCCACTATGGATTACCTGATGTCGAATAAGGGTTGAATTCTGACTAAACGTTCTTTCACATTCACTGCATTTATAGGGTTTTTCTTTGGTATGGATCCTCTTATGCTCAATAAGATATGCCATCTGACGGAAAAATTTTCCACACTCATGACATTTATATGGCTTTTCTTGAGGATGACACTGTTTATGGACAGTAAGAGCAGACTTCTGTTTGAAGGCTTGCCCACATATGTCACACTCAAAGGGATCCTCTGAAGTGTGAATTCTTTGATGTCGAACAAAATTTGCCCGACGCTTGAAGACTCTTCCACATTCATTGCATTGATGAGATTTTGTATTTGTAAGAATTTGCTTATGCCTCAAAAGCAATGATCTCTGAGGGAAGGGTTTTCCATATCCATCACATTTGCCCTGTTTCTTCCTTGTTTGAGCACGCTGATTCTGAAAAGGGTTAAGGTTTTGAAGGAAGTCCTGGCTGCATTCATCACCAGCAGTAGGGAGTCTAACTCTATAAATATCCACAAATTTGCTACATTTAAGTAATTTTTCTGAAGGTGTCTTGACCATCTTCTGCCCTACCACTGATATGTTACAGGACTCTAATAAATCTTCACAAATGTTATGCCTCATCATCTGGTATCTGGCTTCAGAACCTAGTGAAATAACAAGAAAATATATAAATGACCTGTCCACCACAGAAGGAAAAAGAGACAAGAAGCCAACTGTTTGTGATATAAGATACTCAAATGAAGCTAAGAAGTGCTCACTTTATTATATCATTATAGTAAAGAGGCCAAAATTCTGATTTTCATAGCACTCCCAGCTTTTGTAATAGAAAGAGCTCTTGACATCAACCAACTAAAAAATGAACAAGAGTGTGCAACAGAGAACGTGAGAACCAAACAAACCCATCACCGTTATTGAACGAACAACTTACTATGGGTACTCAGTAGTGTCACATAAATGTAGGAGAGGTAGCATTTTACACTTTTTAAATAAGCATGTTTTTCATAATTCTGGGAGAAATAGCTCCTTAAAAATGGAGAAAGTATAAGATAGAATAAAAAAGGAACCAGACGGAAGTAGGTACAAATGCCAACAGAATAGAGCCCTGGTTCTCAACCAGGGGTGATTTTACCTCCTGGGGGACATGTGACAATGGACATTTTTGGTTATCACAACTGGGGTGGTGCTAACTGGACTCTAATGAGTAGAGGCCAGGCATACTGCTAAACATCCTACAATGCACAGGGCAGCTCCCCCACAACAAAGAATTGCCCAGCTCAAAATGTCAAAGTGCCTCAACTGAGAAACCTTAAGAGTAGAAGGATGTGGAAAAGGGTAGAAGCAGCAACAGGACACAGGAAGTAGGAAAAAGTAGGCACATCAAGAAACACCGAGGAATAGAAAAACAAAATGAAAGCAGGGGAACAAGAGAAAATGGAAAGTAAGGATAGGGAAGAAAGGATAAGTAACGAGGGTACAGTATCTAGGATGACGTAAAGAGCTGTCAGAAAACACGAGACCAGCTGATTCAGAGAAGCACTTCACTGCAGCAGACAGGGTGGACTTTGCAGACTTGAAATCAAATCCCAACTAGCAATCTACTGTGTGACAAATATCTTAATCTATCAGTTTCTTCATCTGGAAAATAGGGATGGTGGTCATACCTACGACCTTGAGGGCAAGAGAGATGAAGAAGTGGGAGAATATATGCTAATCCCCTGGCTCAGTATCTGGGACACAGAGGGACTTCATTAAGGGACTTCCCTTCCTCTTTATGATTTCCACTTGACGACCTTCTCACCCACCTGGGCAAGCACTACTGGAAGCCTTCCTAGTCCCAGCTCTTGGCAGATCCGGGATCCATGGGTCTTCCCACTGTTCCAGCTGACAGATCACCTCAGGTTTGGAAAACTGAAATCCTACCCATGGGGAAGTAAATGGGATGTAGTGGTTAGTGAGTTACAGAGAGAGGTCCTAGAGCTCAGTTTAACCTTTGGGTCTACAGTGGCAAGGAGAGATAAGGACAATAATCAAAAGGGCTCCTGAGAATAGAAATTGGCACAATCTTTGTGACAATTTGGTGATTTTTACTGATAGACTGAATGATATTCACACCCTAGGATGTGGTCATTTTACTCTTAGAAATACAGCCTAAGGAATAATAAGGACAAAAATTAACATTCCAGAGATATTCACTAGAGTTGTAACAGTACAAAACTAGATACAAACTAAATGTTAATAGGGGGATAATTAAAGTATAGCACATTAATACAATGAAGGCAAAAGTTTAGGCACATTATTAAAAATCCACGTGTTCAAAAAACATTTATTAAAATAGGAAAATGCTCCCTGGATATTTTAAAGCAGAATACCAAACTCATGTACAGTATGACTCAAACCTCATTTTGTTTTTTAAAACTATCTATATGTGTCTGTTTACATATGTAAGTATACATATATATGAAAAGACAAGGAAAAAGTAAACCAAAATGTTGACAGAAGTTATTTCTGGGCAGTGGGGCCTCTAAATGGTTTTTATTTTCTAGTCTATTACTGAAAAACCATTCAATGATATGTATATATTAAGAAACTTAAAAGTATCCATACCCTCTAACTCTAAAATTCCAATCCTGGGACTGCATCTTGGGGAATAATTAGAAATTTATAGTCAGAAATATCCATTGGAACATTGTAATATAGAAGATGATAAACACACAAGCAAACCAACAAACAAAAAACATCCTTAAATGAGAAAATTATTAAATATTATGGATCATACAATAGAATTACATTAAAATTTTTACCATATTTATGGGGGCTTTTAATAACAAGGGAAATGCTGATGCTGTAACACTGAGTTTTAAAGGGATTACAGAATTATACAAAGATATGCTCAGCTATGTTTTTTAAAATAGGGAAATAAAAAACTGAAAGGAAATATTCGAAAATATTAAGTGTTACCCCTGAATGCTTTCTTCTTCCCTTCATGCTTTCCTATACCTTCCATGTATTCAAGTATGCTCTTGTAATTTGTAAAAGGAAAATAAACATTAACAAATCCAGAGGTAGGTAGACAATCCCACGACATACTCTGTGCCAAGAGTGTCAGGGTGGGGAGGCAAACATGTGGTCCCAGAAAGAAAGCTATCCAGGAAACTCCCACAGTAGGGCTCTGCATTGGAATAAGACAAAGGCTGGCTCCTGGGAAGACGGAAGCAGTGAAGGTTCAGAAATGAACTCAGTTAAGAATCATTTCCTGGGCAGCTAGTGATGCTGCAAACAAGAAAGGAACCTATTTCCAGAAAAAAGAAATAAGACTTTTCAAGAGAATAAGAAGCCAGCCTTTAGAATCCAAAGAGGCCACAATCTTTTCAACACCAAGAGGTCTTATAGTTGTGGAGGAGGCCAGTGGGAGTGGGGAATGGACTCTAAAACAAAAAGAAAATATTCCTTGTCCACAATCCCCTACATGAAACCCTGGAGGTCAGTTGTGTTTCAGGATTCAGAATTTTTCCAGATTTTAGAAAGGTAACTTGGTGTGTCATTTTCTATTATATACCACCCCCAACTCAACAGGGTTTGGAGCTGTACCTTTAATCAAACACAATGACATTTCTAATGCTAAAAAACAAATACAAAGACCAAGTGGGAAAAATAAGCATGATAAATAGCCACCCGATGACTTCATGTTGGGTCTTGTAGCCAAATGAATTATGAAAATACTTCCGGTTTTCAGAGCTTTTTCTGATTTTGGAACTGCAGAAAAGAGATTGAGGACTTGTGTAGACACTCAAAGCACTCAAAGCCAAATCTTTAAGCCGTCATTACCCAACAAGATCATGTTTCTGTAATTCTCCAGCATCACATCTCTGTAGAGGTGTTTCTGAGCCCAGTCAAGTTTGTTCCACTCTTCTCTGGTGAAGTACACAGCCACATCCTCAAAGGACAACAACTCCTGAAAACACAGCAACTAATTATAGCCTCAATTCTGACAATAACTTTGTGGGCTATTATTATTCTATTAATGAGGTAAAGTGACTTGGCCAAGCTCATTCAATCAATAGGCTGATTCAGGCAGAGATCAACTTGTCTTCCCACCCTCAGGCGAGGCAAGTTCTCTCTTATGGAGTCAAAAAACTTTTTCTCTAGAGGGCCAGATGATAAATACGTTAGGTTTCTCAAGCCACTTGGTCTCTGCTGCAATTATTCGGGCTTGCTGCTGTAGCACAAAAGAAAGCCATGGACGACAGGTAAGCGAATGGGCAAGGCTGCATTCCAATAAAACTTTACTACCAGGTCCACGTAGCAGCAAATCCCTGCTCTATACATTACTACCTTTTACAAATGATGTATTTCTTCTGTCCGGGATCCCATAAGGAAGAGATGGCACATACAAATGAAGTCACTATGGACAGCTTAGCATGCAGACTAGTCACGATGGAATGGACAGGCTTCCTGAAAACCAACAAAGCCTGCTGAAGCATGCAGGGGCTGGCTGTGCTGGGGAGCCATAATCTACTAGGTCTAAAGGGGAGGGGAGGGAAGGGGTTATTAGAATCCAGAAAGTTGAAGAGGGCCAGGCAGAAGCCAGGGCCTTAGAGGAATGCAGCTACTGTCATGGGGCAGCCCAGTAGGGTGGGAGCTGTGGGAATAAGCACCCAACATTAATTTCCTCCAAGTCTCTGGTCCCGAACCCCTCCATCTCATTGTCAAAAGCCAACCAGAAGCCAGAGGGCAAGAGAACCTACTGATGGTGAATATAAAGGTGAGCCTCCCAGGGCACAGACCAAAGTGGGGAAGGGTGGACAGAACATTCAGAGGGATAAAGCGGTCACCACAATGTACACAGTAGACATTTCCACTTGCAGTTGTGTGTTCACCCCATGTGGGCCAAGAATGGAAGGTGTCTCATTTACACGCTACTGAAGCCCATAGAGCAGAGGCCTGGTTGTCTCCCCACCACACTCCTTTCTCTTACAAGACATTGTGTGGGCTCAGGGGGTATTTATACAGAACAAGGGTGCTCCATAGTACGGAATACACACCCTGATCCTAAGCAGTCCCCTTCTGGAGACAGACACCAGAATCTCCCAAATCATATGGCCTTTCTTTCCTCCCTACCACACCTGACTTTCTTAAGCCCCCTTTCACCACTGTCCTGAATGTCCCTCCTTTATAGTCTCAACCTGACCAACTCAGCTGTCTGTACTCTCTGCATCTACCTGAAGGTTAACAAGCGCTGGGGGTGAAGTGGTTTAATCTCCCATTGAGTTATCTCTGTACATTTAGTTTTACAGTTGGGCTCTTAATGATTCTCAACAACTCTTG